TGTTTTGTTTTTGTTGTTTAGTTGGTTCTGCAATGTCGTTTTTCATGACTGGTCTCTTGAGCTAGTTATGATTATTTTTTTCTTCTACTGTTTATTTATGATCTGTTTGTGTATATTTATTACTTGACTGTTTTGGTAACATATACATTAAACGAGACTTGAAATGGAATAAAATGTCTGACATCATGTGCGTTACACCCACACACACATTCTCTCTCACACACAAACACACACACACACACACACACACACACACACACACACACACACACACACACACACACACACACACACACACACACACACACACACAAACAAACAACACACACACACACAACACACACACACACACAAACACACACACACACACACACACACACACACACACACACACACACACACACACACACACACACACACACACACAGACCGCGACGTAACAACGCTTCAGGATATGTAACTGAAATAGAGCTCTTAATGGTCCACAATTATTATAATCCCGGCAATAAACTCCGGGTAATTAAGGTCATCAAACTCATACTGTAGGCACGAATAATTGAACATGCAAGCCGCTCAAATGTGATTAGTGAGGCGAACGCAATGCACACATCATAAACCAGCCACAGAGCGCGTCGAGTCACAGTAAAAATATACGTGGAATGATTCACTTACAGCGCGAAAGACTCGAGGTCAGAGGACAAGCGAAACAGCTCTTTTTGTTCCATTAGGTGCTTGAGCTCTGACACGGAGGCTCCTACAAGTTTCTTCCATTGGGGCGAGATGAAACAGGCGCCGAGGAAATGAGGTAAGGCGAACCTGCGCTCTCTCTTCCTCTCTTTCTCTCTCTCTCTCTCTCTCTCTCTCTCTCTCTCTCTCTCTCTCTCTCTCTCTCTCTCTCTCTCCTCTCTCTTTCTCTCTTTCTTTCCCTTTCTCATTCTCTCTCTTTATCTCTCTCTTTTTTTCTCTCTTTTACTCTCCCCCCTCTCTCTCTATTCCCCCCCCCTCTCTCTCTCTCTCTCTCTCTCTCTCTCTCTCTCTCTCTCTCTCTCTCTCTCTCTCTCTCTCTCTCTCTCTCTCTCTCTCTCTCTCTCTCCCTCTCTCTCTCTCTCTTTCCTTCTCTCTCTTTCTTTTCTTTTTTTTTCTTAGTTCTGCTTCTCTGAGGGAACATGTTTTGCCCTTGTTTATATAACCGGCGAGCGGATGCCCCGTAATTACCACAGGTTATGTTATAATGGGGCTATAAGTAAAATTGGATACATTTAAAATCAAAAAGAAAAAGCGACGCTCTCACAAGGTCGTCCTTGGCCAGGAAGTTTTCTTAACAAGCACACAGAACCTAAGGGATGTCAGCTGGAGTGGGTGTGGGTGTGGGTGTTTCAGTGTGGTTATGTGTTTGCTTGTAAGTTCTTAAGTGCGTGCGTGTGCTGAAGGTACAGGGATGGGAGGACGGTTTTGCGCGCGTCTGTGTGTGTATATGTTCCAAAGTGCGTGTGTGTGTTGAAATGGTAAGTCGTTTTGCGTGTGTGTGTGTGTGTGCGTGTGTGTGTGTGTGTGTGTGTGTGTGTGTGTATGTGTGTGTGTGTGTGTGTGTGTGTGTGTGTGTGTGTGTGTGTGTGTGTGTGTGTGTGTGTGTGTGTGTGTGTGTGTGTCCACGAAGAGGACGTTCACCACACGTAATGTCTATATAGACAGTGTTTGGGTAACAGGTGCACACACACGATAAGATTATAATCCTAATTTCATATATTTTTCTTACCTCAGTTTACTTCCGATTTCAGATTATTTTTCAACATTTTTTTCATAACTTTAAAAAAAAACGTACAGATTTTTTAACCTGATAATCTTGTAATCTTCCTATTTGCAATTGCCCGAAAACAAATAAGCATCATTTCAGATACGAAAAGATAAGATAACAAAAGACAAGAAAAACAAAAGAAAAAATAAACAACGCGAACCCAGTATATCCGGGGAAGAAGGGGTTACGTGCTCCCTTAATGGATATTCACCAAGAGGTTAATTTAAGTCATTAAGAGACCAAACAGATGTTTCATCCTCGGGTGAGAAAAAAAAGACTCTGGGAAAGTCGAAGATTATGACACCTGTGACTGGGTGTGAACGGAGAGGAAAGATGCTGTGAATTACATGCTCGTTGTGTCTTTTTCTGTCTATTTTCTATCTATCTATTGTTCGTCACTCTTGCAAATTTGATATATGTAGAGATTTTTGGCCGTCCGGTAGTAGGAAGGAGGGAAAGGTAGATAGAAGAATAAAGGGGGATTTTAAATGTATTAACATATACAGACATACAGAAGGTAAGATTGATGGATAGATAGATAGTACGGTGTATAGAGAGATATATAGATAAATAAATAAACAGATAGATAGATAGATGAATAGATAGATAGATTTAAAAAAATATATGTATATACATATAGATAGATAGATGAGTAGGTAGATAGATAGATGAATGCGTACATATATGCATACATACATACATACATACATAGGAAGATAGATGGATATATACATACATTCATGCATAGGCAGATAGATGGATGCATGCATACATACATACATTCATACATAGGCAGATAGACCGATAGATGGATACATACATACATACATACATACATACATACATACACATACATACACATACACACATACACACATACACAGATAAACAGACAGGCAGACAGATAGTCAATGCATTAACTCAACATATACCGGTTGTCTCCTATACTCGACTTCCCTCAGTCATATGCGTGTTGGCACTCAGCGGGGGGGGGGGGGGGGGGGGGGGGTTATTTGTAGCATTCCTCCAGGTCATTAGGAGGCTCTCGGCGATAAAGTTGATAAGGATGTTGATAGAGCTCTTGGAGGCATTAATGGAAAACTTCAGTAATGCTCCAGCAAAAAGGAATATCTTTGGCTCTTTACGCAAAATTAGATTCGTATCATACCGCTTTGTGATTATGTTCATGAGTATGTATATGTTGAGATGTATGGATGAAGAGGTAAATAGGATAATCGATTTCTATTTATGGTTCTCTTCATTTACACACACACACACACACACACACACACACACACACATATATATATATATATATATATATATATATATATATATATATATATATATATATATATATATATATATATACATATATATATATATATATATATATATTCATATCTATATATATAAAGATATATATACATATATATATATATATATATATATATATATATATATATATATATACATATATATATATATATATATATATATATATATATATATATATATATATATATATATATATATTTACTTATTTATTTATTTATAAATATGTGTCTGTGTGTGCGAGTGTGTGTTTTGCAAGTTGTCCATGGTACAATGATTGAATTGGTCTCATATCTTCGTCATCTATCCGGATATTTGCGAGGATTTTGAACTATTTTAAGTGCCAGACGATATCAAAAGCTTTTTGAAAGTTAATGAACACCAGGTAGATGTTTTGCTGGTGTTGGATGTTCTCTCGGCAAGTATTCTCATGACGAAGATAGCATCCCTCGTCCCCTTATCCTCCATAAACCCAAACCGGGTCTTTGGTATTTCTTGTAGGAGTTGTCTTCTGATCCTCAGTAGGATGATTTTCAGCATCAGAGTTTTAAGAATATGTGACATTAGACTAATCGTGCGATGTTGTGAGCACTCACGTGTTCCTGAGACCTTCAGCAAGGCAACGAATACTGATTTCATAATTTCTTTAGGTAACTTGCTTCTTTCATGGATATCATTTAGGATGTTCCAGATGAGATTAATACCTTTCTCTCCCAAGGCCCTGAGCATGTCGATGTATACACCGTGAGGATCTGCAGTTTTTCCTGATTTCATTTGCTGCAATGACCAGCGCACTTCTGACTTCAGAATTAGTGGACCAGATGTAACAACTTCCAGGACTAGATCTTTCGGCTCTTGTTCATACTCTTCCCGACGAGCGCTGACATCCTCGGCCTCGTGGAGAATGCGGCCGTCTGCTGTTTTGATACAAAATGAGGAGGAAAAGGATCTCTGACCAGTGATCTCTCTTATCCCTTTGAACATCTCTGTGGGATTACAACTGAGATTCTTTCCTTCATCCCCTTTCTCTTGCAGCCACCTTTCCTTGGCTTTCTTACATTCCTCTTTGTAAAGTTTGTTTACTAGGTCATATTGCACGGAGTTCTGTTTTTAGACTTGCCGTTGTCGCAGCAGGTCGTTGAGCTTTGGGAGGAACCAGCTTAATGAGGCCTCAGGGACTCTGGCCTCGGATTTTGACTCCTGAAGCCTTTTTCATCTTAGAGATGCCACGAGGCAGTGGATTGTTTTGTATAGGGTGAACTCCCATACCTTTTGAACATATACGACCATGTGTATATGTGTGTGTGTATATATATACACACACACACACACACACACACACACACACACAAACACACACACACACACACACACACATATATATATATATATATATATATATATATATATATATATATATATATATATATATATATATATATATGTGTGTGTGTGTGTGTTTGTGTGTGTGTGTGTGTGTGTGTGTGTGTGTGTGTGTGTGTGTGTGTAGGTATGTATATATATTTATTTATATGTATATATACATATATGTATACATATGTACAGATATATATATATATATACATATGAACATCCATACAGATAGATCGATGGACAGATGCATAGACAGATGGATAGGCCGATAGACACAGCATATGCACGTAGCGACCGCAGCAGAGCATGCCTGAGCCTCCACCTGATCTCCTTTCTCTTAGCTCAGTAAAAACATCCCCGTCATATATCACATCAGTGATGATTATAGACTGTCTGTTTTATATTCTTTTCAATCATCTTAATAGTATCAATTACCTTTAATAGCATAATGACTCTCTGAGGCAATTTTTAGTTGTCCACTAATTATACTGCACATTTTTTCGCCAAGATGAACGGGTTCTGTATTAATTGTTTTGCCAAGAATTGATAACTTGAACGCTGATGAATTATATCAATTGACGCTTTTTAGAAGGAGATAATTAAGTCTTTGTCGAGCCTGAATATCAAGGATGCTGTATTAGTGGAGGTACTGTACCATATGAGAATCTTTAATGTGGAATCAAAATATAGGATATATATTAACATGACAGGGTAAAGATTTTTTTTTGAAGATCCCTAGCATGAATTATTGTTTAATTAGATTTTTTTTTCATATTTACATTGCGAAATTCTTCTTTTTGGGTTTTGTATATGCATAAAACATTGTATTTCATTTCTCTATTTGCAGCATCTCTCGTTTTCTCTCGCGCTCTCTCTCCCCTTATGTTATTAAACATATCTATGATTTTCTCTTTCATCACTTATTTGTGTTTTTATTTGTATTTATCTCTCGTAGAAAAGGGATATTATTGATCCTAAAGAATATCATCATCATCACTATCTTAATGAGCCTTAATGATAATGGTTAATTACCAGGATGATCAGTGAATGTTGCTACATTCTTCCTGCTTTCACTCTTCCTTTTTTATCTTTCATGGGGAAACGTTGCCTCGCTCCCTCGCATCCTCTTTATTCTCCTCTCTTTCATTGTTCTCCTTTTCTTTCTGCTTTTTATCCTCTTCCTCTTGGCTTACACATTTTTTTCTCGTTTCTCCTCTTCGTTCTCCTTCCCTTTTCTTTTCTTCCGCTCTACACTTCTCCACTATCCCCCCCCTCCCCCTCTTCCTCCCTTCATTCTCCCCGACCATAGTTCCTCCTCCTCCACCTCCTCCTCCTCCTCTTCCTCGTTTTCCTCCTCCTCCTCCTCCTCCTCCTCCCTTCATTCTCCCGACCATAGTTCCTCCTCCTCCACCTCCTCTTCTTCCTCCTCCCTCCTCCTCCTCCTCTTCCTCGTTTTCCTCTGCTTCCTCCTCCTCTTCCTCCTCCTCATCCTCCTCCTCATCCTCCTCCTCATCCTCATCCTCATCCTCCTCCTCCCTTCATTCTCCCCGACCATAGTTCCTCCTCCTCCACCTCCTCTTCCTCCTCGTCCTCCTCCTCCTCCTTTTCCTCTTCCTCTTCGTCCTCCTCCTCCTCCTTTTTCTCTTCCTCTTCCTTTTCCTCTTCCTTTTCCCCTTCCTCTTCCTCTTCCTCTCCCTCTTCCTCTTCATCCTCCTCCTTTTAGTCTTCATCCATCCTCCTTCCTTCCTCCTTCTTGTATTCGTTCTCCTCCTCCTCCCTCCCTTCCCCCTCCTTTCTTCCTTCCTTCCCCTAGTTCTCCCTAACTTCCTCCCCCCTCCCTTCCCCCCTCCTCCCTTACCCCCCCCCCTTCCTCTGCCCTCCTCGGTCTCATCCTCCTCCTCCTTCTCCTCCTCCTCCCTTCCCTCCTCCCCTTCCTCCTCCTCCTCCTCCTCTTCCATCCTCCTCTTCCTCCCCTCCTCCTCTCTTCCCTCCCCCTCCTCCCCTCCGCCCCTCCTCTGCCCTCCTCAGTCTCATCCTCTTCCCTCTCCCCCTCCTCCCCTCCCCCTCCCTTTCCCTCCCTCCTCCTCCTCCTCCTCCTCCTCCTCCCCTTCCCTCCCCCTCCCTTACCCTCCCCCCCTCCTCTGCCCTCCTCGGTCTCATCCTCCTCCCTTCCCTCCTCCCCTTCCTCCTCCTCCTCCTCCTCTTCCATCCTCCTCTTCCTCCCCTCCTCCTCTCTTCCCTCCCCCTCCTCCCCTCCCCCCCCTCCTCTGCCCTCCTCAGTCTCATCCTCTTCCCTCTCCCCCTCCTCCCCTCCCCCTCCCTTTCCCTCCCTCCTCCTCCTCGGTCTCATCCTCCTCCTCCTCCTCCCTCCCCTTCCCTCCCCCTCCCTTACCCTCCCCCCCCTCCTCTGCCCTCCTCGGTCTCATCCTCAACGAAGCCACCCAGAAGCAACTTCCAGACGTCTTTCTTTTTTTATTATCATCATCTTCTTGCGTTGCTTTTTCTTTTTTTTCCTCTCTGTTCCTTTCTCCTTTTCATTCCAGGAAGTTCTTATTCTCTTACTTCTTCTTTCGTTTTTCTTTTCTTTTTTTTCCTCTCTCTCTCTCTCTCTCTCTTTTCTTTTCATTCTTTATCTTCTTCGTCAATTTTTTTCCTCATTCGTTTTTTTTTTTTTTATCGTTAGTTGTCCTTCATATCGTTCTGCTTTTCCCTCGGTTCTGTACATTTATTTTTTTTCTTTTTTTCTTTATTCTATTTTCTTTCGTGACATCCACTTTTTTTTCTTTTCTTCCTCCATATTCTTCCCTTCCTTCCTTTCCTCTGCCTCTCTCTCTTCTTCCCCTCCTCCTCCTTCTCGTTTCCCTCTTGGTTTTTCTTTTCCCTTCTGATTTTCCTTTTCTTCTTCCTTTTTTTCTCTCTCTCTTCTTTTCCTCTTCCTTCCCACTTTCCTCCTTCGCTTTTCATCAACTATCACCTTTCTACTCTCTTTTCTTCCT